TCTGAGGGAAAGGAGGCTGAGGGTTTTTTATTGCTCTCTTCCAACATCTGAAAGGTGCTTACCTTCTCACTGGTGACAGGACAAAGGGAAATGGCCTCAAGTTGCACCAGGGTAAGTTTAGGTTGGATATCAGGAAACACTTCTTTACAGAAGGGTTGTTAAGCACTGGAATAGGTTCCCCAGGAAGGCAGTTGAGTCACTGTCCCTGGATGTGTTTAAAAACCATTTGGATGTGGTGCTCAGGGACATGATTTAGCAGAGGGTTGTTAGAGTTCAAATAGTATTGTTAGGTTGCAGTTGGACTTTATGATCTTTAAGATCTTCACCAACCTGAGAGATTCTATGATTCTGTGATTACAGCAAGAAGATACTTGGAGAAAGAATCCTTACACTTGAGAAGAAATGCTCAGGTAGAACACCAGTTCCAACAAAGCCAGTGGTGAAACTGTCAAAAAAAACCCATAGATTTGGCCCTTCTGTTTTCTTTTAATCTTCCCCTTATTTTTAAGTATCTTGCCATAAAAATGGCTAAAAGTAAAAACAAAAAAAAAGTTTTTTTTTTTTTTTTTTAAATAAGTGTTTCCGGAAAATTGCTGCATAGTATTAAAGCAGACAGTAAAATTGTTGGAGCACATCCTTTCAAAAGCACAATCTAGGTATATTCATTTCTATTTTAAAAATGAATCAGGGCGTGTCTTTCTATCTATAAATGAACACTTTGAGTTGGAAAATAATTTCTTAAGAGACAACAGGAAGAACAGAAGTCAAAAAGTATTGTTCTCGAGCATAGTATCCAAACCATCTCCAAAATTGAAATCCTGCAGGTTTAGCTGTTACCTCAGTATTTAGCTTTCATAAAGAACAGTGGGAGGATGGTTGGAGTGAATGAGATGCACAGTTTCACATGCACAGTTGACATCTATCTTTGTAAGCCCATTGCCTTAGAACATCTCGGTCCTCTTTAGGAGAGGTTTGAAAGAGCTGCTCAAGGTCAGGAGTCATCCAGACTTCAGTTCCAGCAGGAAGGAGATCCTGAAGGATCTCAGCATGGCTGCCTTGGGACTCAGCAGCAGTGTCCTGCTGGAAGCCACCCCACGCTCTAAGGCCAACCAGCTTTGCAGGTAAGAGGTAGGAGGTGAAAGGAAAAGGTACAGTAAGTAAAGAGAATGAAACTTTGTTTTGAAGCATATTGCACCTTCCTTAAATCTGACCATAAATTAGCCTCTTTTCTGTAACAGTACACATAAATTAAATTCTCAATTTTTCATTTAAGTTGTTCCTCAAAGAAATGCAAGATCTTTTCCAAAATAATACTAACAGAAACACTCCAGGTTTTCTCTCACAAATAGAACTTATTGAGGAGGGAAAAAAAAAACCACACAAAACAAAAAGACCATATAAATACAGCTTTCTCCACATCATATATACACAAGTGTGCATAATTAAGTTGGCTTGGTTTTTACTATATAGGTCATATTATGTAGGGCAGGTAACTTGTGACAACAGTGAGCCCATCCCAAAGGTTTATCTGATAGATTGCTTAGGTTAAGCTCCTGTACTCCATTTCCCATTAATGTACTTGTTCAGGTATTGGTGTAGATTTCCCAATATCCCCCCTTTTTCCCAGTAGCCTTTCCTGCTCAGCTTCTTAATTGCCCTATATTGACTTGGCTACAGGGGCAGAAGGGCAGAAGAAAACAGTCTTTCAAATACAATAGCGATTTTCAGTTAGTGGATTCTCTTCTGCTTTGGGCTCAGATATCAGCCAAAGAAACTACAAGCGCTGACCTACTGACCTCTGACAGCCATCAATAACAACTAGGATCATGTAAATTCTTTCTCATGGAATAAAACACTCAAAATACAACTACTAAACCCACCGCACCCTGTATCAGTATATAACAAAAATAATACAGGTGTTGGCATTTCACCATATTGCTACCTCATTGAGACCAAACTATCAGTTACTGTTTCCATTGCATCAGTGTCCAAGAAGCCTAAGCCACTGGACACTCAGTAATTATATTTTACAGCCAAAGAAGATAAAAACACAAAGTTCAGCTGATGTTTATTTGACAGACTCAGAACTGAGGGGTCAACTCTGTTAGGCAACCAGGCAGATTAAAAAGATATCAGTGAATTATAGAATCATTAAGGTAGGAAATGACTTCTAAAACCATCTAGTCCAATCACCACCATGCCCACTAATGGTGTCCCAGAGTGTTACATCCACAGAGTTCTTAAACTTCTTCAGGGATGGTGACTCCACCACTTACCTGTGCAGCCTGTGCCACTGCCTACTACCCCTTCTCAGAAGAAATGTTTCCTAACATCCAACCTGAACATCCCCCAGAACAACTTGAGGCCACTACCTCTCATCCTATCATTAGTTATGTGTAAGAAGCAGCCAACCTCTACTTCATCACATCCTTTCAGGCAGTTGTAGAGAACAGTAAGGTCTCCTTCAACCTCCTCTGCTCCAGACTAACTAATCCCACTTCCCTCAGCCGCTCCTCACTCCTTGTTTTCTGACCAGGAATTGCAGCATTGTAACCCTTCCAGACATGGAAGGCTATCCTGTGCTTTTGGTTTGACTCCTCACACACCCTTCTTTGCCCATGAACACAAAGATGCACAAAGGCTGTGGGAAAAGGTCCTATCCCCAGCAGAAGGCTTGCTGCATTTGGGAGTCCCACATCTGATTTTTCCAAAGAGGAATATTTCATTCTCCATCTCTCCTCCCTGGAAATAGTGTCAATCATCCACATTTTCCCCCAGAAGAGATGAAAGCTCAACACATTCCCTTCAGCACTGCACATCTGAAAACGACGTTATCCACGGTTCATTGCTTCACTTTGACACATTTAGGATTTTTCCTCACAGATGTAAATTTTCTTTAGGGGCAGGGAAAGACACCACGATTTCCAAGACTGTATAAATGGTTTGTTTAAATCTACTTGCTACAAACAGAAGACAGTTTTCCTATTACCATTTGTATGCCACCCTTATCCCAATTTCTACTTTACACTGCTATATTCACCTTGCCATGATATATCAGTAAAAACGAAGCCCAGGACCTAGCTAAGATGATCAGCCTCAATGTTCTTACGGGCAACATATAACCCTGAAGGGGATTTCACTCATGTATACAAAAAGCTATATTCCATCTACTGTAAAAAAAAAAAAATACATGCACTTCAGTCACTGTTTTCACAGTTTTAAGCAGAAAAGAAGTAGATGGAGATTAGACCAGTAAATGAAAGATTCTAACTATTCTGTTACAGTGCAAAATTCATCTCCGACTTCTCTCACCTTTCTTTTGCACAATGAAGTGCTTCCCAGTTCTTTTCCTATTTAAAACATAGATTGTTTTGATCTTGAGCAATACCACTAATAATTTAAAGTTACAAATGGAGTAGAGAAACTAAAGGACGAGAGCATAGAGAGAGAGCCAAGATACTAGAAATGCACTTCTCATAGATCATACACAAGAGACATTAAGGTTTTAGAAAGGTCAGCAGCCGTATAAATGCACAAGCATAAAAAGGGGCTATATTTATTTCCAAACAAAGCACATAGCCAAGAATGCCTCATGCCCAGCAATATTGTGACAATAGCAGAAAACTAAGCATTCACTAGCTAATGAATGCAGAGCTTTATTGAATTAAGAAGCCCCACAGCAGCCTTTACCTTCATTACTCCCAGGTAGGCATCTCCCCAAGGTCTCAAACTCAGGCAATTCTAAAGACAATTTTAAACACAGAATTCTGAGTTTAGAATATATTAGAATTGAGTAAGACTTCAAAACCAAGTTTTCTGCCTGTAATTTTTAGTAATTTCAGAGTACCTCAGCTCAGTGTCACTAGCCACTGTTCAGATACCATTACTTTTCCCCTGCAGATAGGGGAAGAATAAAGTTACTACATCTGCTCATCATCAGACCTCTTTCCCAAGGGAAGAGCTTCACCATGACAATGAAGACCAGCTCAGCAAGAAACACATTCAGCACTCCAACAAATGCGGTCGTCAGCTCACTAAGCCATCCCTTGAAGTTTTATTTCAACTCATTGCTACAGAGAAGTTCTAGTCAGACTTTCTACCTCTGAAATGACCACATAAGCTCCTTCTAGCATCAGTGCTTTTCCCTGGCCATGACTGCAGCCACTACAGCCGTTCTGATAACCAGACCCACCACACACTCAAAAGACTGATGAACACAGATGAAACACAAAGGGGTCAGTTCAGTCTGCATTAGTAGTTACAAGGTGTCATGGTTTAATCATTTTTGGTTATTGGTATTCCACATCATAACATCATGTAGTGCATTAATTCCAGTTCCGGGCACCTGTCCCAGATGAAGAACTACATGCCTCAGAGGACTTTTCATTCAGCGAGGAGATATAAACCCCTGGCAAGGTCACAGGACCTCCTCTTTTTCCCCTTTTTGGCTCTCCTTCTTGCTCCTTGACCCCACCACAGTCTCACCTCAGCATTAATGTAAGGCCTTCAGATACTCTCTCTCATTATATCTGATTTATTAGCTTCAATTCTAATTATACTGTATTATAGTGTGTTATCTTGCATTCTGATATCTTACTTAGTAAATTAGTTTGTTTCTCCTCAGATCGTTGCCTCTGTTTTTAATTATTTGGGATCCCCTGTTTCCTTTTCTCCAGAGGCGTGGATTCACAAATCCCTCCACCCTGCTAGTCACAGAACTGGGCCGAACCAGCCCGCAAATCATTGACACAAGGGCTCTGCAGAAACATTCCCATCGTAAGTTTCTCTTCCCCCAGTCCAGATTCAATTCATGCAAACCATGTAGGACAAGATTTTACACCACTTGAAGCGAGACATGTATCATGAGACAAGGGTGTTGGAAAGTTCAACCCACAAACATCCCCTACTCTGTAATTTTCACCTATGCCCTCAGTCATCGTTCTCTACTATAAAACAGTGCAGAAATAACCCTGGCGCCCTTCGCAAGGGGCCTCACTCACTGTTTCAGCCTTCTTTCCACCATTGCAGAGGGCATGCTGGGGACAGGCGGACTCCATCCGCTGTTTGACCTTCTGTTCAAATGGGGCAGCTTCTGATGAACTCAAAGTAAGTATGCAGAAAACCACGTCCTCTTCTGTGAGAGAGAAAAAAAAAAAAAAAAAACTTGAACTTAACCGCTGCTTAATTTTTATATTATAACCCCATCATTCACTGCTATTGATATCAGCCGTGATTAAAAAGAAATGATTGCATAAACCAAAACATTCTACAAAATAATAACTAGTAGATTAGGGTATAATCAAAGAATATTAGGATGTTATAATCACAAAATAAACAAAAGAGTTAGGCAAAGTAGACTATGATAACAAAAGAGAATAAATAGAAGGCTTGCCCCTATCCTGGGCTCACCCACAAAACTCCAACAGAGCAGATCTCCCAAAAAGATCCTTCCCCACTGGCAGCCAGCTCTTAAATAGGTCTAGAAGAGGTGCAGCCAGGCTCCACCCCTTCCAGCAGCACAGGAGAATTGCCTTCACCTGTGCTCCTCTGGCTGACTCATGGCTCGCCTCAGGTGATCAATCAGAGGTTCAGGCCATAGCTCAGCAGTTCCCATACAATTAGCGTATACATGTAACTTTGCACTTCACAAGCATTAACTAATTGGTGTTTCTTAAACTTCTTTCACCTGTCTTTAGCTCCTTTCCATTTTCCCTCCTCATTTGCTCTGCCCTTGTTTGCAAGGAAACTTTTTCCCTCCCAGCTGTACTATGCCCTTCCAAGCTATGCCTTTCTCCCCACTTGCTCCTTCTTTCTCCTTTTCCTTCTTTTTACCCTCAGGCAAACTTGTTCCAATTAAAAAAAAAAAAAAGAAAAACAGCTGGAGGACGCCCAAATACCTCCCAATGAACAGTGAGAAGTAGCAAGAGATATTTGCATCCTTGCAACAAGGTGAGCAACAGAGAGGAAGGGAAACACAAATGACAGAGAATAGGATCAGGCCATCAACCTGCAAGTGAGGACAGCAGAGAGCTATAAGAAAGAGTTTGGGGAATAGAGGAGAAGAGCTGTGCCTACAGCGTTTGCCTTTTCTTATCACCAAGGTTTCAGGTGCAGTGAGTTCTCTTGTTACCCAGCGCCCATGGAGACTACAGAGCCTGTAGCAAAGACCCAAAACTGATGCTGACAAACATTTAAAGTGCAACCAAATTCAATAGCTCAGGTTGCATTCTCTATCAGTTTCCAGACATCCAGAGAATTTAAATGAGAACATTTTTCATTCAAGAAGGAAGGAAAGGAAACTCTAAAATATATACCTTTTTTTTTTCTTTTTAAAGGCTGAATTTATTTTCAGTTCAGTACAAGTTTAAAATAAAACAGACATTTCAAGGAGAGATAAGAATCAATCTAAAGGCAAAACATACACAAAATCAGACTTCTATAAATTGCTTATGAACAAATTTTGAAAATTTGAAAATTTCTCAGAAAAATGAAGTTCTCAAAAAACCTTTCGGGTAAGATGAGGAGAGGCCTCTGCTGCACCAGCTCACATTTGAGAACCCGATGGAAGGGACTGCACAACAGAACAGAGGAATCCACAGAGAGCAAAGCTCAGCTATCCATACCAGACCCCAGATCCTCTGAGAGGTCTGGAAGGAAGTGGATCTCCCTTAGCTTCCCTGTAATTATGCTGCAGCACTTCCACACATCCAGGTGTGCTGTGGCCAGGCACAGGGGCCAGCATAGATTGCATTTCTTCCCTTGATACATAAGTTGGAGTTTTCAAGAAAAGATTCAGGCCTTCTGTGATGTGCTGAAGACACATAAGGCAGGCATTTCCTTGTGCTCATAGCACAGGCTCCAACTGTTTGGTGCCTGGCTGTAAGGTCTGAGGTCTAAGCCTTCCCTGAGGGTACCAAAGAAGCACATCAAAAGCCCTCCCACTCTTCTGCATGGGTCTTCTGCTGGAACATATTTCTGGAGATGCCTGTGGCAGTGGTAGCACTAACCGAAAGCCAACATGTGAGGCGTCACTCTGAGAAGGACTTCTGTCTTGCTGGTGATGGTAAACAAAAAAGGTATTGTGGTCAGACTGGCTCAATAAATTACGTGCAGCGGAGGTAATGCAGGTGCTCTTTCTTGGCCAAGGCTTTGCGTGGAGCAGGCGAGGGACTCAAGTAGCAACTCCGAGGCAGAGAAATTTGAGATTAGTGGTTGTGCCTTCAGCAGAAAACTGATTATTTGGAATTAATGCTAATAAATCTAGCTTTCTTTTCTGACACACATCCCCTCCGCCATCGCTTCCACAAAGGCTCCCTGCGTGCTGCCGACTGATTGCAGCAGCCGACACAAAACGAAGCTCTCTCCTTTTCTGCGTGTCATGTACACCCAACTGGTACACAAAACCCCAGTGTCTTTTGCCACGGCTGACATGCCAGTCAGCGCCAGCAATCTTCACTTGGCAAGAATTTCCATGTGAAAGGAATATTCTGAAGAAAGCCTGTGGGTTGGAGCCAAGGTGAAGGCTCCTTGCTCTTCTGGCAAACGCTCCTTTTGCAGCTTGAAAGCACAAGGCTCTGCCCCACAGCTGCGTTCCCATGGATTTGCCCCAGGTTGAAGCTTGTCATCTTCGCAGCAGGGCTTTGCAGTAGGATGTGGAGTGCCAACAGCACCAATGTTGTTTCTCTGGGGAAAAAAAACAAAAAACAAACCACAAACTTACTGCTGAAGCTTCAGGCAGTAACTTCTCTGCAGTGTAGCACAGATTGCTTTGCAGCACAGGAGACCTCGAGGGAAGGTAGCACCAGGCAGCCACGGGTGGGTCAGCCCAGTAGTGGGGAAAGATGTGATGGCAGAGCTGGGAGTCAGGTCCAGATGGGTTAAGATGTGAAGTGAGTTATCCACTTTTAGCAGTGACTCACTGAACTGAGCTGCCAAGGGATGGAGCCGGGCTTTTTGGTTGGTTAGTTATGCTTAAAATTCTCAGGTGAAGAGTCACTGCCCATCTCTGTTCCAGGCACTGCACATGGAGGGAAAGCAGACCTGGGTGAGACTCAGCGAGCTGCAGACATCTTTGAATGGGGTAAGCTCTTCAAAAGAACAACACTGCTGAGACAGAGTTTCAGCAGCAATATCAGCAGTGAGCAGCCTGGGCCATTAGTTGGATATGGGGGCTTGTCCCGACCCATGTCACAGGCTCTGCATGAGGTGAAGATACTGCTTGCATCCTCCTCTGCTCTGTGCCATAACTTAGGGAAGCAGCGCAGCCAGGGGCAGCTCTAAGAGCACTTGCCCTCACGTGGGGATGGATAACACCCACTGCCATTTCCTGCCCTTCTTATATATGGAACAGAACTCAGTTGAATCAATAACCATAGGTGATGGATGCTGTAATTGCACTGCAGATATAATTTGTTGTTCCATATGTTAATTGCTATATATTTTTTTTTTTTCCTGGAGGGTGAGAGAACATTATACACCTCCTACATTTTTCTGTCCACAGCTCCTCGCCTGAGCTTACTTCACACACCGGGGTTGGGCTCTGTCGGAAGGCTCCGTGGAGCGGCGCGGTGCGGCAATGGCAGCGCTGTGGAGGTGTCACAGCCCCGGTGATGGCGGCCCGGCCGCGGGACAACACCGCCGCTCGGCGCCCGCTGCCGGCACTGCCCGCGCCGCGCCTTCATGGAACGATCCGGCAGCCAGCCGGGGGAGGGCTTCCCTTCCCCAGCTCAGCGCCTGGTGCTGACGGGCTCTGAGCTGCCCCTTGTGCAAGGGGTTATTGAAAGCTTTCTGCAGGTAGCTCCGTGCCCGTTCTGGGAGCGAGCTTGTGCAGTGCAGCACGTTATTGTGTGCTGGTAGCGACGCTGTGCATGGTAGCTCACCCACCCTGGGAGAGGTTGTGAGGTGCACTTTTTTGGGAAGCTGGTTTGGCCAAGCAGTTACATTGCTCACATGGACTGAAGGACCAGACTTCTGCCTTAATGGTTTTTAACTAAAAGAGGGGAGATGTTAAGTAGACGAGGTTAGATGTTAAGAGGGCGTTCTTTACTCAAAGAGCAGTGAGGCCCTGGAACAGCTGCCCAGAGAAGCTGTGGGTGCCCCGTCCCTGGAGGCATTCAGGGCCAGGCTGGATGGGGCCCTGGGCAGCCTGATGTGGTGGGCAGCAGCCCTGTGCATGGCAGGTGGTTGAGGTTGGGTAGGCTTTAAGGTCCCTTCCAAGCCAAACCATTTCAAGATTCTTTCTCTAAGGGATTCCTGTAGGTAGGGATTTTTCTTACTTATGAACTAGTGCAGACTAATGATCTCATCACATCATATACACTGTGATTTCTGCCCTCACGATATCTGCCAAACAGAAGGCAGTCAGTTACAAATACACACACCTCACTCGGATACACACAAAGGCAAGGTTCCCCCCACCATCCTACAAGTCCACATCATTTTCCCATCAGCAATCAGCCCAGCAGAGTGCCAGCACAGTTAGCAGATGGCTGGGTGAGGAGATGGCTTGGTGCCCCACACCCTGGGATCCCCCCCACTCTGCTCACTTCAGCCTAACAGCCAGGGGAATCCCAAGGGTTCTTCATCCCCGTGGCCTTCTGAACTGCTTCATGTCCTGTCCCTCACCTGCTGAGATCAGCTGCTTTCGGAAAAAAAAAGAAAAAAGAAAAAAAAGAAAAAAAAAAGAAAAGCAAGTGAAAAAGAAGAAGAAAAATGAACTCTGGGAATAATAAAGAGCTCAGAAAGCTTTCAAGTACAAAAATAAATAAATAAAGAGCAGGAGGGAGGGAGAACCGCATGCTTCTTCTGATTAATTCCCCTCCTTCCCACCCCAAAAGACTGTGCGGTAAATAAAATGGAGTGCAGCTCTGACAGACACAAACCTGGACTGTCTGTTTATAGACGGCATGAGTGCCAATGTTCCAGCGGGACCGCGCAAGGCGAATCTGTCGGTGAACTGGAGCACATGTTCTGGAGTGTGAAGGTACATGCTTCACATTAAAAACAAATCCCTCAGAATGTGCAGACTACCCTAAATCTACATCTGTCACACTAGTTATTTCTATTACGTTCTTAAAATTCATTCTGAATTTTATTTTCCACATCTTGCAAGTGTTAGATCTGCAAAACTGTGTTATAACCACAGCTGTTGTGAAGCAGGGCTCTGAAAAAGTATCTAGCTGAAGACAGGCCAGGATCCTTGTCTTTACCTCTCAGTATTTTTCCAATTATCTCTGGGAGTTGCTCTCTTTAAGAAAGCCATCCCTCCTGCCTGCCAGCACAGCACCTACCATACGATGGGGTGACAGGAAGGGGCTCCAGCTCCACCATCATTTTCTCCCCCAGTACGAATCACACACAGAATCACACAGAATCACAGAATCACCCGGGTTGGAAGGGACCTCAAGGATCATGTAGTTCCAACCCCCCTGC